GATGCTCTTCATCCAGACCTATCACCTGTCTGAATGAATAGACTGGTTCTACAGAACAAATGGAAGAATGCACGGTAGGTTTGTCTCTTCTCATTCACATGATTCAAATGCTTGTGTGGTGAAACTGTGCTGAACACCAGTGGGACAAATAAGATGCAGAAACATGTAAAAAGGATAAAACTATGTGTTGCTGTGTACAGGGATCCTGTAAAACCTCCGTGTTTCCCCCGTTAGACTTGTCCTGTTCACTGATCTAATGAGTCCACAGATAGTCGGTGATGGACATGAGTCTGTGGACGGTGTGAACCCATCTCCGTTTTAAACAGATCAGACTGGGAAACTGGATTGAGCAGCTGTGACCCCCTCCCCAGGGAGCTTCCTGTCGGCGTCCCTCCCTCGAGAACCTGGTCTCTGGCGTCAGACTGCAGCTGTTCTGGTTGGTCGATGAGGGTCAGCTGATTACACTGTCACTGTTTTGAAACCAAGCTGGTTCTTGATTTTATTTTTACATACAAACCCAGTGGTCAATACAAAGAAAGTGTGGACAGAACTGAAGTTGTTTTGTTTTTAATTGCACAATAAGAAACGCTTTCCAGTCTAGTTTCCCACTGCTGCACCAGTAGTAACCAGTGCTCCCAGAAACCAGTTTAGTTTGGTCCAGTTTCTCTCTGGGTCCTCAGTCTGGGTGCCTTTCACTGTAACTCCCAGTAGGAACCAGTTAGCGTTGGACTGGTATAGGCACATCACAACACTGTGAACCTATAAGGAGTCCCTGTGCACAGACACCTGCTCTCACCTGGTTCCTGATGGCTCCGGCTGTCAGATCGGACTGACACGTGAATCACACATTTACATCGGAAGAAGACTGTGCTCCTTGTTTAGGGGCCGATGCCGAATGATGTCGACAGGCCGTATGTGCAGAGGAGGAGAGGTTAAAACGACCACATGGATTCTGATCTAAGGAGGAGAGGAGTGCTCGCACAGTCAGGGGTCTGAAGGGAATCGGGTCTAGGAGCATATACGCAGGTGGCCCAGATTTGGTCTGAGGTCATCTGGTCTGGTCTGTTCACACTGCTGTGGACACACTGGGTCTGAGGTGCTGGGAGGGAAACTGCAGCTGGATGTGGACGCAGCCTCATATGAAGGAGCTTGTGCAGGTTCTTCTTCACAGGGGTCACTGCTTGTGTTTACTTCCTTCTCTCCGTTTCCTGATTGGATCTGCGCTGCCCTCGAGTCTCTGCCGTCAGCGATAAGGACTTAATCCTGATATAAACTCTTATCTTACATTACAGCTGCCTCTGGTGTCATAGTTGCTACAGACTAGATGGTGTTTGCCTTCTAGCACTGGGAGGTTGAGCCTCTTACTGAGATGCATTCTGACACCTGGGCCCAGCTCACCTGAAATGTGGTTGCATCCATCCCAGACTATCAGGTTGTAGATTTAAGAGTAAGAAAAAGTGCATCCCTTAAAATCAGCAGCAGATGGTGTAACATGTAATGAATGATTTATTGCCGTCCTGTTGGAGCTGCTGTGTGTCAGCGTTAGCATGTCCTGTTGCTGCATGTGACTGCCCAGGAGAAACAGGAATGGGGGTGGGGTAGGCTGATAGGTGGAGAAACAAACCAGGTCGAGGCTTCAGAGAGACGCTGCAGGGCTCTGACTCACAATAACCCCCCCCCACACACACACACACACACACAGAAACACCTGGGGCACAGCACATTGCTGAGTGTGGTGTTAATAAAATATGTAAGACCCCCAACTCACCGCAGGGAGAGTAAGCCAAAACATCATGGGGGAGTGAGCATGACGACACAAATGGAGAGAGAGGGGGTAAGTAATTTATGGGGCTGTGACGTGAACACAAATCAGCTCCAGTGTTTCAGCTCTGTAAATCAGTGTTTCCCAACCTATTTTACATTAGACAAATCACAAGGCACACCACCAAACCAAAATGTCACAAAAAGTATATTTATTGAAATATAATGAAAATCTAGTCTCAATTTACTTACTCAGTGTGAAACCTGGGTCTGTTTAGTTGAACACAAAGCTGATATTCTTGCAAGAATTGAAGAAAGACACACACGAAGGTCTTCCTCAACAGCTCCGAGTCTCTCTCTCTTTTTTTGTCTTTATAGCAGTCATGCTTGAAAAGCCCACCTCGCATAGATAGGTTGCAGAGAAAGGGAGCAGGACTGAAATAGCTTTGTTTGCCATAATGGGGAACTCCTTGGCAGCAGTCAGCCAAAAACTGTCCAAAGGTAGATCGGCAAAGCTCATTTTTCGACCACGATTTTGTCTCAGTTCAGTTATTTCTTCCTGCTCCTGCAAAGTCATGTCCTTTCCAACTGCAGTTGAGCTGTATGGCTTCCTAACCCAGTCAAGGCAATCAGTGGAAAGTGAATGGAAATAACATGACAATTTCTGCTCAAGACTTTGCAGATGTTTACCTATTGTCTCACACAGTGCAGCACTGTTGATACCCTGCCATTTCTGGGTGTGTGGGAACATGTTAAGGTTGACACTTTCCACATGTTGTTTCCAGAGCTGCACCTTTGAACAAAATCCCTTTATTTTATCTGTACTTGTGAGCAGGGTTTCATTTCAGCCTTGCATTCGTGTGTTCAGGTCATTCGGGTGGTGAAATATATCTGATAGATATGCCAGTCTTGCACACCACTTGTCACTTGAGAGCAACTTAGCATCATCATACTTCTCATTTGTCAAAAACACTTTAAGTTACTCCCGCAGCTCATACACACTGGCTAAAACTTTGCCACAGGACAGCCACCGGACCTCCATGTGGAGCAATAACATTTTACGTTGCGCTGACATTTCCTCACACAGTGATGCGAACATACGACTTTTTTTTTGCTTCCCGGTGCAGAAAACAATACGTCGCAATGACATCTGAATGTTGCTCTTTCACTCTGTTTACAAATCCTTTGGTGTGCAGGAGCACGGCAGCTGCTCCATCGGTGCAAACACTTGCACAGTTTTGCCACTTCAGTCCTCCTTGTTCAAGGTACTCTGACACAACTCGAAAAATTTCCTCTCCTGTTGTTCTTTCTGGCAATTCCTTGCAAAACAGAATGTTTTTTCTGATGATCTCTATCTACAAAGCGCACATTTGCCATAAGTTGTGCATGTCCACTGATATCTGTAGATTCATCGATTTGCAATGCAAATTTCCCACTAATGTGCAACTTTTCCAAAACTATCTTTTCAATGTCAGCAGGACATGTCTTCAATACGTCTGGAAATTGTATGATTTGAGACAGGGACTTGGGCTAGGGCCGAGCAGCTCTTTTAAGATAATTTTGCAGGCAGGCCGTATTAATGTCTCTGCTACGGTGTGTGGCTGTTTTGATTTAGCGATGAGTTCAGCAACTTGGCAGCTAGCTTTAAGCTTTCTCACTCGTCCTGTAGTGATGTTGTTCACGAACGATTCGAATCTTTCCTTTGACTCGAGAACATCGGGTTGTCTCGGGCAGTGACTCGTTCATTTTGTGTTGACCACGCACGCGCAACATCGCATAAGATTAGTTCACCTTTCGAGTCCTCGGTTTCGAGTCGTTCGTTTTTGTAACGTGACATGACCGCTTTGTTGGATACAAAAATTAGTTAATTTTCAACCGTACTTACAGTTTTTTTACTCTTACTGTTACGTGATGCATTTATTTTTATTATAAAATAGCTTTTTATTTCCTACAGACTATAATTTTGTGAATATCTGTCAATATGGTTCTTTTCCATAACACTGAATGTTTTAATAAAGAGCTGGTTAATGCTTTAAACTTCATCAGGGAAAATCTTTCTGTTTACTATACAGAAGACGGCACAGCAAAGCTTATCTTAGGATGTTAGGTGACAAAAGACCAAACGAATTTGACCCAAAATATCGGAGGTGAGGTGACAGACTGCATAGCCTCAAGACACAGGTACGATATTACTTATAATATGGCCTTGGTTCTTTCTCATTCGAAACGTGATCAATATGTGCGTAAGTAGATGGGGAATTAACATGTAACATTTTAATTACATTCTGCTGAAATGAACGAAATGACTCGAAAAAGGATTCGTTCATTTTGCTGAATGAGATTCAAAGAACCGAATCAGTAAAATGATCCGAACTTCCCATCACTTCCCAAGACGATGTCTTGGTGGTTTTCCTCATTAACGCTGCCTGTTTCTCAGTCTGTTCACGTAGTTGAACAAAATAGTCCGTGTTCTTATTTTGAAGTGATGGGTGTTTTGTCTGGAGATGGCGTTTAAGTTTACTTGGAACCATGGCACTGTTTGACAATTTTTCCCCGCACACTAGGCATAGCGGAATTGGCTCGGTTGGTTCCCCAGTATAAATGAATCCAAAGGCAAGATAACTTTCATTGTATTGTCTTGAGCTAGGGCCTTCATCTGGGTCAGAATTTTCTCCAGGACCCAGGTCAGATTGACTACTTTTTCTTTTCAAATACTTATCCATCGCTATTACCTGCAGCGTTGTCTGGCTTGTAGCACGACTATGTACTTTCGTATTTAGCGTGATACTGCCTTCTAGTGGAAGAGCATGTAATTGTTCTGCCTGTCACTACACGCTGCTTGCTTAGAGTACCAATCAGGTGAAACTGGATAATCTTCCACGGTACACCTGATGATTTCTCACGGAACACTTATGTGCCGCGACACAGTGGTTGGGAAACACTTCCATAAATAATCCAGTTCCACACACACAATGTTGGTGTTTCCTCTGCAGACGAGGACCCTGAAGCATGGTGCGAGGCCCCAGAGCCCCCGGTCTGTGTCCCTCAGTCTGCTGAGTGCAGAAGGGGACCAGGTACCCCGTCTACTGCGAGCACCACGGTGTGCAGGGCCTGATGCAAGTTACAGCTGCATTAACTTCAACCGTTAATGCTGAAGTGAGAGTGGGGGCTGGTACAGCAGGGGGACAACACATCTAGGTGATTTTTACTTGAACGGAATTGGCTCGGTTGGTTCCCCAGTATAAATGAATCCAAAGGCAAGATAACTTTCATTGTATTGTCTTGAGCTAGGGCCTTCATCTGGGTCAGAATTTTCTCCAGGACCCAGGTCAGATTGACTACTTTTTCTTTTCAAATACTTATCCATCGCTATTACCTGCAGCGTTGTCTGGCTTGTAGCACGACTATGTACTTTCGTATTTAGCGTGATACTGCCTTCTAGTGGAAGAGCATGTAATTGTTCTGCCTGTCACTACACGCTGCTTGCTTAGAGTACCAATCAGGTGAAACTGGATAATCTTCCACGGTACACCTGATGATTTCTCACGGAACACTTATGTGCCGCGACACAGTGGTTGGGAAACACTTCCATAAATAATCCAGTTCCACACACACAATGTTGGTGTTTCCTCTGCAGACGAGGACCCTGAAGCATGGTGCGAGGCCCCAGAGCCCCCGGTCTGTGTCCCTCAGTCTGCTGAGTGCAGAAGGGGACCAGGTACCCCGTCTACTGCGAGCACCACGGTGTGCAGGGCCTGATGCAAGTTACAGCTGCATTAACTTCAACCGTTAATGCTGAAGTGAGAGTGGGGGCTGGTACAGCAGGGGGACAACACATCTAGGTGATTTTTACTTGAATTATCTGAATTTGTGCTAAAGCTTAGTTAATGCAGCTTTAAAGTGGCATCAGCAAACCGATGAAGGCATCAGCAGCCCCAGACCTTCTAACGAGAGGCGCATCAGTGCTGCTGGACCCTCGGTCCATCTAGTGGAGTCTAAACAAATGACAGCACCGAGCCGGAGGGACTCGGTATTTAAGATAGTCTGGTCATCTGAAGCAGCAGATTAGTCATCAACAAACGCTCCCTCATGCATACGTAATCGGCCACACTCGTGTGTTGTGAGGTGGCTGAGACTGTTGGGCTGCTCTTCATCACAGCTCACTGACCCGAGTCCTGCTTGGGGCTGGCAGCCAGTAGAGCGGCAGGGTGTCGGGTCATGTGACCAGAATCTGGGAGTGGATTTCTAGACCCAAGCCCAGAAGCAAGGCTGAGACTCACCTGCTCCTCCTTGTATAAAGCAGGCTCAGCTGTACATTCAGACTTCCAGCTCGCTAATCATTTAGCCTTAGACGTAAAGCTCATCAGTGTCTGTGGGTTCGTGGCTGGAAGCCTCGCCCCAAATTTGTTCCTTAAAGGCACCAAATTATACGTGTAGTCACTTCTGTAGCTACATCAGTCTCCCGGGGCATCATGGGATAATGAAGTGTCCATCGTATGCACACTGCAAAATCCAACCGGAAGCAGTAGGTCATCCGGGTACTTTTCGTCTACTGTTTTTGGAATACTACGAATCCGGACATACTACTCGCCTCGCCTACTGCTTTTCGCCTACTATACAGTATGGTAGTAGGCAGTTTCGGACGCAGCCTGAGACTCACCTGCTCCTCCTTGTGTAAAGCAGGCTCAGCTGTACATTCAGACTTCCAGCTCGCTAATCATTTAGCCTTAGACGTAAAGCTCATCAGTGTCTGTGGGTTCGTGGCTGGAAGCCTCGCCCCAAATTTGTTCCTTAAAGGCACCAAATTATACGTGTAGTCACTTCTGTAGCTACATCAGCAGCTTTTTAAAAACACCGCACAACTAAATACACCGCCATCATCTGATATCACTCAGCTGCTATTTCCATTTAAACCAGGCAGAGCTTCAGCCAGTGAGGCGCGTGCACCTGTCCCCAGGTAGGGTCACCTTGAACCTGACAGCAAGGCGGAAACTGGAGTCGCCACGTGAAGTGACATCACCCGCTGGCGGCGTCTTTAGCTCATTTTGTTTTGTATGTGAAGATGAGCTCTGGATGCTCAACGTAGTTTTTTCCTTCTTGTGCGCCATTGACCCACAATGCATTGCTGCATACAGTTAATTCAAACATCATCATTCAAAGACATGAACAGAGAAATCTGTAATTGAGTTTTAAAAAGAAAACCAGACATTTAAAGCAACTGCTTTCATACTCTGACAGAGCGTAGTGGGTGTGCAGACATTATAACACATTGTTCACTATCAGTACAGTGTGTTTATCTCCGACAAGGTTCATGACACGTGAAGGCGACGTGGCAGTGAGGACACACTCAGAGCAGATACAGTGAATATTGACATTGGTTTGATGAATCAGATAAACTAACAGTGGTTCAGCTCAGGTTAGTGCAGAGACCTGGTCACGTGTCCTACAGCTTTCAGGCCAGCAGCCTGTTTATCGTCTTGTCAGTCAAGGACCCAGTCATAGACCCAGTCACCAGTCAGTGGCGCATGACTTTTCTCATGTATGTCTGCGATACAGAAATGTCGTCATGTGAATCTGGGATGTTGAATGTGCGTCTGTGACACGTTTTGTGTGTGCGACATGAACACTTTGTCAGTGACGTGTAATTTTGACGTGTCTGCAGTTTGTTCATGTTTAAAGTTCGACTGAAAATTTCCTTCACTATCTAAAAACAGTTTTTAAGAATCATGATCCAAAAGTTTATTTAGATTATTCTTTTATAAAAGTGACCATGGGCCAAAACGCGACTGGTGCTTTGTTTAAACTCATGCCCGGTGCTTGTCAGACACTACAGGTTCAAACAAATGCCGCACTACAACACAACAGGCATTAACCTGGGTCCTTCAGTATCTGGTCCTGGGACCTGTTGTTGACTTTGTGCTTGTACATTGCATATGAACACAACTTGGCGGTGCAGCAGTGATACAACTGTTAAACAAATGCAGTGTTGGAGGGAACCACATCTGTTTCTTATTGACATTATTGCTTATTCTGTCCTCAGCATAGAGGACGTTCAACTCCCTGACTTTTACTGCTGAGTTCAACCAAAATGTGTTTAGGTTGAATTCAGCAGTGAACTGAGAACGACTGGGTGGGATGTGTGCAGCCACAACTCAGCCGGACTGGGACCACTTCAGCCTCATTATTTTAACACCAGGAAAAGACAAAGCAGGTCCTAATCATCGTATTGAAAACTTTTCCACCATATAAACGTTGGCATCTTTGGAAAAAAAGTCTGTGAAGGACGAACGTTATTTTGTCTTCCAAAAACCTGTGTCTGACATCAACACAGAGGCTTTGACTTCACTGTCAGTAGAAAAGACGAAGAAGAAAAACGTGCAGCACCATTACAGATGTAGAAAAGAAGTGACCCTCCATCAAAACTCTACTCAAATACCACATGTCACACAGAGACTCTCGAGAGTAAAACGGGCAGCAGGAGTGAGAGGGCGTCGGACCAGTGATGGTCCAGTGCACTGAGGAAGAACTGGGGAGAAGTATAGATGGCTGGTTTTACAATAACCCACATTAGTGTTCACATGCATCCCACTGGCCCCACATCAGAACATAGAAATGATGCTAATCCTGCTAAACAGCGCCGCTAGTTCCACTGAGAAAATAATCCAATAAATACTGGTAAGAAAAAAGTCCTCTTCAAGATGTCTCAGACTCCTCGTCACTGTCAGGTGATGTCGGCGAAGTGGCCGTGTTGTCCTCCTCTGCTGCTACGCTTGCTGCAGGCAACCCGGCTGCTGCCGCTAACAAGTTCGTCTTCTCATAGGTCCTCCTGTGCTGACTCTGCAGCTCCTTCACCTCCTGCAGCACCTCCTGCGCCTCCCTCCACGATGACACAGCCTCCTCCAGGAGGCGCTCGGCCTCGGCACGCCTTCTTTCCACTTCCTGGTCCTCCTCTGACAGCAGGGAGGGCGGTGAAGCAGGCAGAGGTGGGGACTGGCTGTGTTTGTCAGGGGTTTGGGGCTGGGAGGACTGAAAGGACTCAGAAAGGCTCGGGGAGTGCTTGTGACTCAGACAGGGTGAATCCAGGCTGCTGCCCACACGCGGGGAGCTGGTTCCACTGCCTCGTGGTGAGTCAGATCCTCTAACCTGAGGGGGGTTTGATCCTGTGACACACGGAGGCGATTCACATGGTGACGTCTGCACAGGAGAGCTGCATGATCTCTGGAGTTTCGGTAAGTGACCTGTGTCGGAGCTCATGGATTGAGGAAAGTCAGCGGTGGTCAGATGTGGTGAATCCTTCAGTAGGGGAGAGCCGTTTGTTTTAGTGGCAGGTGAATGGGATCCTCTGGAGCGAGGCGAGTTAGTGCCTTTGGAGCGATTCCTCTTGGCTTTGGATCGAGGAGACTCTTTTCCTCTCATACGAGGAGAGTCTTTGCCCCGGAAGCGAGGAGAGTCACTGCTCCTGCTCCTCAGAGATCCAGACGACCTGCTGAAGAAAAGGCAGTCAGTTAAATACTGCCGTTTTTAAATATTGGCAGGTAGGACCTAGGACCTAGCACCCTGCCGGACCCTAGTTTGTTTTATGCGCACCAGGACCTTCACACTCACAGAGAGCCCACATATCTTTGCCATGTGGGGTGGGAACAACCAGCCTCTGGGACAACTAAACAGGGCAATACACACACACAGATCTTTGTGCTATGAAGACCTAGGTCAGATCAGCCAGAAACGTGTTGGCCAACAGGGTCCTGGAGAAACACATCGGCAGTGCGAACCACATGAGTAAAGATTCAGCTGATCTGTGCTGCACAAGGAAATAAAAGGTTTAGGTCAGGTAGCACTAACCTTCTAGCCTTTTGTCTTTAGCAGCACCTTCAGCTAGATATTCCAGGTTTCAAGAGGAACTGATCCTAGTGATTTCAGTGACCCCTGACCCATCCCCCCTTATGCCAGCACCACCTTTAAGCAATGCATCGTTTCCAGAGTCTTGAAGTGATGATGTGAAGGAACCTACCTGGTGTGAGGCGAGTCCAAGCCCCTGAGGTGGTGGAGTCGAGGAGACTCAATGCCCTTCAGGTGGGGTGAGCTGCCTCCTCGTTCCTGCTCTGCTTTGGCCTTCTGCAGCTCCTGTCAATCACACACAACATTAGATGTGGCTGGTTCCCTTTTTACTGTCTGTGTCATAACTTTTGCTTCTGCAGTGACTCCATCACACATAAGGCCAATGAACTAATCAGCACCCTGATGGATTACGTAGTCTGACCTGTAGTCTCATCTCCTCCAGCAGCTCCTGGGCTCTCTGCATCCTCTGGGCGATGAGGCTCTGCAGCTGACCAACTGGCTGGACTGAAGCCCCGCCCCCCACCTCTTCTCCTGTCGGACATTGATGGAGAGCAGAGCGCAACTCTGAACGAAGCATCACTGGCCTGAAGAAGGATGAGGTAGGACAGAGAGGAGGTAAGTGGAGGAACCACAGTGAACTGTAACCTGCCACACTAGTGATTTACTTGTGGGTGGAGGTTCATGCTTGACTGTGGGTACACACATACTTGTGGCTGTAGCCGAGCGCTCTGGCAATAGCTCAGCAAGTGAACTTTGCATCGAGAGTTATTATCACAGTGCAGTGGTTTCTCATTTAACCGGTTCACTGGACATCATGTCCGCTTTTCATTCCTATTTAATTCTTTCCAGATCTTCCACCAGGTTTTAATGGACTTTCCATTTCTGTGTGACAGCCACTCTCTGAATACATCATTAGAGCCAGGATAGTAAATAATGCAGCAAATAACAAAGGTTACGGTGTGTTGATGGGGACAGCTCAGGCACCTGAGCTGGGTGGTGACGGTTTGTTTTACTGTCAGGTGTCGGTGTACCTGGAGGAGAGGACTTCATCCATGGAGGCACAGCGACTTCGGCCCTGCACGCTGGACCTCTTCCCTGGCTGTGGAGTCCGAGACTGAGCCTGGAGGACCTGAAAAAGAACATGAGGTTAAGGTGCATTGTTTGTGGTTACACTCTGCACACTGACAAACCTTGGACCTCTTGCACTAGCAGCCCACATCACATGGCAGTGTGTGCCACAACACAGGTGGGTGGAACTGTCACTGCAGGAAACACAGACTACAAATTGGAATCTGCACATTGCAAAAGTTGGCTTCAAAGAAATAATGTGACCCTGAACTGTTCCCATGTCGTACAGTCGTTCTAAATTTGATATGATCCACAGCTCCAGAACTGACCTGGACCTTGAGGTTCTTTACTGAGCTCTGTTTGAAAGACGTGGACAGGAAGTCTTGGAAGAGCTCAGGAAAATGTGAACATCTACAGTTCTTTAATCTGTTCAGGAAGATCATGTGCCATGACTGTAAGCTCCAGCAGAGCCACTAAATAGACTCTTAAAAGGTTTGCCCACCTGCACCTGCTGGCTCTTGTGGACCTTGGAGGCCTCCAGGTGGGGCTGTTTACCCCAGGATCGCTCACTCCCCCTGGGCAAGCTGCCAGTCTTCACCCTGGGCTCCTTGGTGGTCACCCTGAGCTTTGAGACATCAGTGCCGGCCCGCTGACGACCACAGACCCCCTGGGAACCAACAACTGCCACATGTCCACATGAGCCCACCCTCTGGAAGCTATTCTCCCACGAGTCCCGTGAGTAGCCATCGTAGTCGTGGGAGAAACCGTCCTCCTCAGCAACCAGGTCGAGGGTCAAAATGCCGTGGGAGGAGGTGGATGCCTGCAGTGAGTAGGACAGTGTGACAATGTTAAAACTGTCTTTGAATGAGTGAAAATATGAGAGAGATGCTGAGCAAGGGCAGTACCACAGCCATGAGGTGTCCTCTGGTGGGCAGCCGGCGGCCATGTGGGATCTTTGCTCGGTCTCTGGTGGGATGGACCAGTGCACTGTCCTCCTCAGTGGTCACCTGCTCAGAAACATCAAATGTGACTCCAGATTATTCTGGAGTGTTGGGGAATATTTCAAACCACAACATGTTTGTTATCAGTACCCATCAGGTCTATGAACATGGTGTGTGACTCATCGAGGCGCACTGCTAGTCGGCTGACAGGTGACACATACCTCATCTAGGACTCTGTTCTTGGCTTTGATGATCGCCACGTTGAGGGCATTCACCCACAACTCCTTCTCCTCAGGACTCACTGCTAGAAACACAAGGTTGGGAACCTGCAAAAAGACTCAACTGTGATGCAACACACTTCCACCTGTTCAGGCCAAACTAACCAGACCAAAACAAGCTGTCAGAACCATTCCAGTGGCCCCACACAGAACAGGACGGGCAGTGTTCCTGTGGTGTGCACAGTCAGCACCTGCACCAGCCTGCACATCATCAGTATTCACCCTCATTACCATGACTGCGAGACTTTCACGGGTGTCTGGCCTGTTTCAGTAAAGCACACATGATTTGGCTTAATCCATTCTACTCATGGCTGTTGGCCCCGCATGGAGGCTGCAACAGCCTGCAGTGCAGTGGGAAAGTGCTGTGCAGGGATTATCCTGCTCAAATCATCCTCTGACAGACTAATGGGATTCTGTGGATTAAACCTTGTCAGAGGAGAATAAACAAACAGCTCGGCCAATCGCTGCAGCTGCAGCAGGGCAGGTGGGTGGTGTTAAAACTGATCGGCCAATCCTGAGAGGGATGTGGGAGGAAATCCACCAATGACATGGCAGGTTGAGTGAACAGTGTAATCTCTGAATGCAGGATGGACAGAGTGGAGGATGGTAGAGTACACTGACAGAAACCTGAGAGATTGAGGGGGGTTCAGATATGTGGGACAGGAAACACAAGCACCAGATCCTGGACCAGCCTTGGTAACTCACAGAGTTTCCTGGCTGCCGGCAGCGGAGCACAGTGAAGCGACTGTGGTCTTTCTTACTGCGACTCTTCACTTTCCTCAGCTCCTCTGAACGCTCGTAATCAGCCAGGTTGAACACTTCCTGTGCTTTACGCTCATCTTTCACCTGGAAACACAAAGAAACACATAATTCTGAGATAATTCAGGAGACTTTAGGAGTCCTTAGAAGTCCATTCTTCACACCTTACATGAGGTCATAAGATGCAGGTGCAGGTGCGCAGCAGATTACAGAAGGTAAATGTCAGAATCACAGCATCAGAGCACTTCCTGTTCCTGAAACACATCAGATGTATAAAGGGGGAGAAGAAGAAGACGTGATGAGACAGCTGTAGTATGAGGAGCTGTCAGCCATGCACACTCTCAGGTCACTGCTCACACATGTGTCACACCTGAGTGAAGGAATAAAACTTAACCTCTCACACTAAGGTGGTATATTTGAAACATAATAAAGCTCCAAACACTGCTTGAGGTTGTATGATGGAGATATTCACTCAGTATTTAACTAGCATGAACCTGCAAACAGAGTTCCCTGCAGACCTCCCTCTTTCATGTTATTACTTCAGGATAAGACCCCAAAACCTCCCAAATAACATCAACCTGCAGTTATTGTGGCAGCTACCGCCTTATACCCTCAGATGTCTCTGTACTGAGAAATTTTTATAAACCAGTACACTCGAGGCCCTTTGAGGAAGTGTTACATTTTGTCTGAAATAACCACTAACACCTGACACTGGCCACTTAAGACCATATTTGCTTTGCACGGTATCTAGTTGACACAAGATGTTAATAAGGATAGGAAATTCAAATGGCAGTTTGTATTATGTGAAATGTAAGCAGCTGGATATTTTGTATAAAATATTTTCTGATAAAACTGTCTAAAAATCACCTTAGCAATTCAATATCGGTCTACTGTTAACCCTGTGAACTGTTATGTAACATCCACTACTCACTGTGAAACGTGTGCCTATATGTGTGGCCTTAACCATTACCACTTAAAAGTGTGGAGTTTGCATGTTCTCCCCGTGCTTGCGTGGGTTCTCTCCAGGTACTCCGGCTTCCTCCCACAGTCCAAAGACATGCAGCTTAGGTTGATTGGTGTCTCTAAATTGCCCATAGGAGTGCATGTGCATGTGTGTGGTTGTTCGTCTATGTGTTAGCCCTGCGATGGATTGGCGACCTGTCCAGGGTGTACCCCGCCTTCGCCCGATTGCCGGCCGGGATTGGCTCCTACCTGAACTGTGAAGCAATTACACAGTTCCACTGTCCCACGCCTACATCTATTTCACCCTCACAGGCCGGACCGGCCTGCGGGGGAGCACCCACAAACAGGTGCTCTCACGGCTTGCCTCTCGGCAGGGTCTTCTGGAAGTCAGAAAATCAACCTGAAAGAGCCTCCGGCTGCAACTGTGAAGGAGTACTCTCGTTCCTCTTTTTGCCCGGGTTTTTAAAGGATTCTGGTCAGCAGACTTAGTCCTCTCATCCTACCAGATGCTGCAGTTTGCAGTTAATACTTTATTTGGTGTGCAAAGTTGTATTCTTCAGAACTATTGCATATGTTTTACTGTCAAAGCTCAAGTCCACTGCCTGTTACTGGCCTCCACCCCACTGTGATTCAGTTCCAGATTCTACTTCTCCTTTCTCATAAAACCAAATCATCCTTATATCCAATGAAAATACAGAAAACTCACTTCTGATTGAAACGAGAAAAATCCCATCATTGCTTTTAACTAAACACTCAGAATTACACACTGATTTTACACAAAGCTATCAATGCCTTAAAATTAAAACATGGATCTTCCATATTTTGAATACAATACTTAACTAAACATTATTATTGATTAGACATTGATTAAACAGTAATCATCAACCAAATCTTTACTTTTAGGCTTGAAACCATCATTTCTACTTTCTTAATAACCCCTGTCTCTTTCTCTGTCACATACACACTTTTTGCACTTCTTCTTTGCAGGGATGTGTGTTACTTCCCTTTTTCTCTGAGTCAGAACTTTTTCACTCTTTAGATTATATTAAATATAAAATCACTTATCATTTTTTCTAATGCAATCATTTCTCATTTTATTTTTACACGTTCACTAATGATTACTTCAAACAAAACACAGACTTAAATCATCTTATGATAATCCTTACTTATTAAAAGCTTAACTTTCTACTTTATGCATTGTGCCATAGCATTTTAACAATTTTTCTCTCTCCTCCAGCCTCTCTTGGCATTTCTTCCATTTCCCATCCAGGTCCATTTTGGCCTCTCCTGCATCCTCCACAATGTAGTCTGCATTCTCCGACTCCTTTCTAGTTTCCAACTCCTTTTCCCATTGTCTTCCTCTTCTTCTTCTTTCTCTTCCTCCTTTTTCTCAACCTCAAATTCCTCTTTCCACTCATCCACCACCAGATATTCTGCATTTTCCCCCATTTCTTTCTGGCAGAAGTCTGCTGGTTCCATAGGACCAGGTGTGATGGGGGAGTACAAGCTTTGCATCCACTCCACATCCTCCTCTTCTGGCACTGAAACATTCTCTGTCCCCAGTGCAGTTCCTTCTAGCTCAGACATCTCATTCTCATCCTCTTCTGGCCTGTCTGTTATCTGCTGGCATTCTCCTTCATTATCTATTGGCCATTACCACCTTTTCAAATAGCCAGTCCCACAGCTTGTAACTTCTAACTGCAAAGAGATGATCGGTTCAATAGTCTCCTGTAGCTCATCCTGTAAGGTCATTCCTGATGCCAGGTCATCAGTGGCCAGTGCCACTGTTTTTCGTACTTCTCGGTTCTTCCTGGGACCCGTCTTTACGGGTTTTTCGACAAACTACTGCTGCTGAAACTAGTCAAACTAGTGATACTGCTACGACAACTGCTGAGACTGTTACTTCTTCTAATGCAACTCCAACTTCACTATAACTAAAGCTGCTAACACTGAGAGTATTTGTACTGCAAAACCTGTAACTGGTACTAGAGACATGGGACACTGTAGGCAGAGATAAATGTGATTTAAAACCCAGGCACAGATGCAAACACAATAAAATCCAACCAGTGCACAAAGGCCCGATGGTTTCACTTTTAAAGCTCAGGATGACATGAGGTGGGCTAACGGAGACGTATCAGAAGTGATCCTCACTGTCACAGCACAGCAGGTTAAACCTCCAGAAGAGTGGGTGGCATCCAGTTAGGTATCGATTTGCTAAGAAACCACATCAGCCTGGGAATGATCAACAAGCCACAGCACAAACGGAAGATGGACACAAAGAAGACACAACATCCCAGAAACAGGAGACGTGCTCTGTGCAGGCTGGAACAAGAGTTTAAACCTGTGCACGCTAAACTGAAAATAAAGCAGTGAGTCACTGTCTCTGCTCTGATGTCGCTGCTCCACCAGCTCCTCACTGCACAGAGCAACGTGTTGCTAACTGGGGTGTGTCTAATAGCTGGTGGAGGTCTACGGCATAGAGCGATAAGCTGGACCATGGTCTGGACTCACACACATTATGGTGAGGACACCACGTTCACTGGTGCTGCTGGTCTCTGGACAGGGTTTGTAGGAAATAACAGACATACAGAACCAGTCAATGTGTCCTTACAGAGTGATGAGTGAAGTCTTCAGTCTGTAATAAACTGGCAGCCAGGTAAAGACATTGATGCTGCTACTGGACAGATGGAGACAGAGCAGCTGCCTGCTCCAGCGTCTCTGTCTATGGACAGTGATCTAACAGCAGATCCAGCAGAGTCCAGCTCCTCTTGTCCCTGAGAACCACAGTGTCCATGACACCAAACAGCTCCCGCCCCTCAGTCTCTTTACCAACAGTGAGGGACCTTCCACAGCCTACCCACAATCCTCTGTGTCCTAACACCAGGCGCTGCTACACACATTAAACCACAGACCTGGTCCTCACCTCCTTGTCAGAGATATAGAGGTGGTCTCCTCGCAGCACCACGTAGCGGCTCCTCCACAGCTCCCGGAAGATCCCGCGGCCACAGAACTTCCTGATCCAGCCCACTTTCTCTGGCTGCTGGACCCCCTGCTGAGCCAGGTCCTGGACACCCTGCAACAAATGGAGAGTGGACAAACATGGGTCAGATAGGGGGACTAGGAGAGTCTAGACTGCCCGCTGAGCCGGGTCCTGGACACCCTGCCAATAAACATGGGTCAGAGAGGGGGGCCAGGAGCCAGAGAAGACTTGGAAACACTGAGGACAGTCTAGGAAGCAGCCGAGGGAGCAGAACAAGATGCCGATCCTCCACAGAATGTTTGGATTTTGGACTTCACTTGTGGTTTGCAGCGGAGGACGAACAGAACTAAATTAAACCAGTGACTTAATGTGAAAGCTGAGAAACTGCTTCGCTCACTGCCGCACAGCCTGTCGCTTTTAAGCACTGGAATAAAACGTTTTTCTCCTCAGGTCTTAGATGTTTAAAGGTAACGTGTGAATCGGTTTGTGTCTCGGGTTAAATGCCGCCGTCGTCCTTCTGTCAGCGGTTTCCCTGACGCTCGGATGCGAACAGGACGCACAGAGCCTGTTAGGGACCAGCTGCTTTATACAGGCGCAGCGCGCACACGCTTTAGTGCCGCCGCAGTGTTTACATGAGAGCTGAGACGCACTGCGCCGCTTCGTCGTTAACGGGATCCTGTTCCATGGCTGTGTTACCAACAGCGGACGAAGCTCTGGCTGAGTAACGACCAGCCCTACACGGACGTGACGCGCGCTCTGACTGGATCATTAAATCTGATCGGATCCGCGGCTCCTACCCGTCTGCTGCCCTGGCTTTTCTTCATTCTCCCTCCGTGGTCCGCACGCTCTCTCCGACAGGGGGAGGCTCGGCCGGCCCGCAGCCTGGTCCCGGTAGCTCGGTGCAGCTGGTTCCTGGAGTCGGCGCGTCCGTTAGTCCAAGTCCAGTGTCGTTCCTCAGCTCCGTGTGTGTTGTCTGAACCGAGGGTGCATCCTCCCGGTGTGCATGTCCGTGTGCTTGGAGGTAGATGCACCCCCTCTCTCAACACACACGGGCACGCGCTCGTGCATGACAGCCTAGATTCTGATCAAAGGACCTGTCAGCGCTACCCAGCGACAACCGATGGAAACACAAGTCACGTGTGTTGATTATCACATTATCAAAGAATGATGAATAATCATAATCATAATAATAATCGAAAGTCCACAGATAGTAGGCCTAAAACTGAAGACACGGAACGGCAGAAGCCCATATTTGTAAAGACAGAGGAAAAGTAAAAACTAATAAAGTAATGTAAAAAACAGGTTCTTATAGGCCTATAAAAATATACATTCAGACATCATCCTAAAATGATATTAAGCCTGTATGATCAAATTCTCATGGTTTTTACTGTAAAGATCAGAACTGTGACTCTGACTTTGACATGCGTGTCATGGAAAATACATAAGTGGAAGGTTGTAATGATAAAATTCAAACGTTCATGGTAAATCAAACATCAGCAGCATGTGCAGATAGTTTGATGTTTTGCTTAAGGAAAGTAAAATCAGGATCTCTGCAGTAAAAGGACAAAATGTCCTGGAGCTGAACGTGAAGACTTTGTCACTTCCAAAATACTCTAAAGACTTCCTGGATGAGAACCCCTGGTTTTAAGAAAACCAAAATTTTCCAGCTGCTGCATTCCTGTAAAAGACATTTCAGGAGGCATTTTGTTTACTGTTTTGTAGAGTGAGAAGAAAAACTGACCTGTGCACGTTGGTGTGAAGCAAAGCTTGGATTCACTCTGGAGCTACAGATTGCCATTGTCTCCTCATGTCAGTACAAACCACCACCACCACACACACACACACACACACACACACACCCTTTAAAACCTGCTCAATGTTTTCAAGTGTCCAGGTTTCCCCAACTCCTCACAACCTTAAATGTTTGTATGTACTAAAAAATAATTAATATCAAACAATACAATGAAGGGAAATAAAATTGGAATAAAAAAGAGGAAAACTGTAAATAAAAATCATTCTACATTAGGTGTTCCTAATATTCTGACCCTCTCATGTGTATAGCTGGGGAGGACAAATGTATATAGCCACCTCTGAACATCGTCGTCCAGTACAAAACCACTTTTAACTGTGGCCTCAGTAATAAACAGAAGTGAATTTACACATGTAGGTCTTAGGTGGACCATTAACCAGAGATTGTACCATAGCCTACCTCTGTGGAACTCGTCCTGCAGCATCCAGGAGGAGATGGCGGCGGCCGACCTCAGACTGATGACAAGGCTCGAAGGCGCCCAGTTTCCAGGAAAAAGGTCGGCAGCTTCCTGTGACGGTGTCACTAAGATCTCGGTCCTTCTTCCACCAGGTCAGTCGAAGTGTGACACAGATGATTATTTAATAAGAGTGAATATTCTGAAGCCACGTCTTGAATATTTTTATCTTCTCTGGTGTTCATTTATTCTGAGCATTAACTAAACACCATAAGTATGTTATGGGTGTGTTGCTGGGCGTGTGCAGGAGCAGCTGAGGAGCTCCTGGAGACTGAGCTGTAAACAGTGTGAGGTGGGAAAAGATGAAACCACATCTCTGCCAGATGTGATGCAGGTTCTCATGTTTCTTATTTATTGGTGTTTTGTAACATCACACTGATGAACACAGATGCTATACAGACACAGTCCACCCAACAGCAGCAGCAGCAGCGTGTCCGGGCGACGAGGGGGTCCATGTTCCCTGTCTCACACAGATGGTGCTCAGCTGCTCGAAGACTAAACGGAGAGAAGGTATTCTGGGCTGGAGCAACACAAGGGGTGCAGGAAGTCACTGTGCTGTCACCTTCTCTATTTTTATCAGAAGTGTGTGTGTGTGTGTGTGTGTGTGAGAGCAGAGAAACTAACAGCGAGTCAGATGCAGAGAGGAAACAGTGACACTGTTGTTTTTACAGCATGAAGTGCATTTAGTGAAGTGACGTCTGCAGCCATGAGCTAACACACACCGAGTTACGCTGCACATTAAGGTTCACTAGAGAACAGACACTGTGTCCACTTTATTAGGTACACCTGTACAGTCTAACACAATCCACCTGCTCTGATTTTTGTTGAACTCATTGTTTTATTCACAGGTGTTCCTAATTATCTGACCACCTCGTGTGTGAACAAGGACGACAAAAAAAACAAACACCTCTGAAACGTCTGAGCACGGAGATGATGTCGGACAAATACAAACATAAAGTTAGGAATAGTCTTTTCATTTGTGTTCAGCGCCGGTTGCCATGGCGACCACTTCCCTGCAGTTGGTCACCACCTTGACTTGTCACTGACATCACTTCCTCCAGGAAACTAAGACACAGAGAGAGAAGAAGAGAGAAGAAGAGGTGCGCTCAGGTAAAGTATCAGCAGCTGTCTGAATGCAGTGCTGGAGGTACTTGTACTGCAGTACTACATACTGCATTGTAGTGATGGAAGAAGTACTCGGACTACCTACTGAGGTAGAGTTAGCAGTAAAGGTTATTTATACGCTCTGTGAATGCTACAAATATACACCACTGGGAATGAACATCATCAGGTGTAGGTTTATTACCAGATATGTCCCAGCTGCTGAGTCAGGTTCACTGCGTGTACCTGTGTGTACCGCTGTGTGCCACTGTGCGTATCAGTCTGTGTGTGTGTGTGTGTGTGTGTGTGTGTGCGCGTGCGTCTCTGACCTCTTGGTGTTGTGAACGGTGCTTCCTCCCAGCACGATGCGGACTCCAGGTGTGCTGCGGTTCAGGTTGTAAACAATCAGAGCTTCTTCATACGTGGCTCCACCAATCAGAAACACAATGATGTCCTGAGGTCTGACACACACACAAACACACGGGTCAGAGTGTTAAACATGTCTGTTCTCAGAGGAACCTGTTCCTTCACATTCTGTTCCCTCTGACTCTCGTGAACTTTCACTCAGACACTTCTAGCTCATCGCTCCTGAGTTGCAGTGTCACTGACTGATCACAACTGATCATTAGCACTGTTTTCATTGATAGGGCTGAATCTGTCGGGTGTGTTATTGTCCGTCCAGCATGTTCCTGTCTGTCGGACATCTTACCTGTCTCGGAGGCTGCTGGGTCCCAGGTACGGGAACTGGCTGTCCTTGAGCCGACCTTTGATCAGCTGATCCAGAGTGTCATGAAGCAGCGGCTGATGCTGAGTGTATACGTTCTCCACTCCCTGAGCACACACACACACACACACACACACACACACAGGTGGATATGTGCTGCACATTCACTGTTTGCACATCTGCACCAGGCGTTAGGCACTCACGGCAGGACTGGCAGCAGATAGTCTGTGATGTCATGAGGCCTGTGCATGTTGGCGTCTGCGGGACTGAGAAGGTTCCTAGTGTGTGGGTGTGTGTGTGTATACCTTGAGTCCTTTGAAGAACTGTTTGGTGATAGCAACGGCGTCTGTGGGCGTGATGAGGTCACTTCCTCTGACTCGTTTCCCTCCGTACTCAACCACAGCCTGCACCATCTGAGACAGACACACCTCCGGTGAGTAACAGCACACGAGCGAACTCTTCACCACAGCCTGACATCCACAGTTCATCACACACAGGTGAACAATCCCCACCTTCATTCACAAAACAGCTTTGGTTCTCACACAGGTGGAGCTAAACTGTGTGATTATTTGCCTAAAACCGGTTGACAGAACATGAATCTGGTTCATTTGATGAAAATGAGGAAAACCAGTGTTAGTACTGATGAAGGTCGTTACCCTACGGTGGCGCTCAGACACTCCTCTCCTGCTCAGCTCATCCATCAGAGACGGGAGGATGCTGCTGCTGTGGCGCTCGTATCTCAGAGCGTAGAGCATGACCAGGCGGACGGCGTCCAGCTCTGACAGACGAGGGTTCTGCAGCAGGCGCCGGACGCTCTGAGGACACATGGAGCACACAGAATCAGAACGTCTAGTTTGTCTGGAGGTAACCGTCACTAATAATAGATCCTCTTCAAGGTTTCTCACAATCTGGACGTTGATAAACTCTCAGAACAAGCTACATTTTAATGAGCCGATTACGTTACATTCACACAGTTTGAATGAGGTATATGTGAACTAAAACTAAGAACCTCCACAGTCTGAAGAACGAGAGGCCCATCTACCTGCAGCAGGGTCAGTGTGAACACGTGAGAGTGACAAGCTGCTGCATGATGTGGTTGTGTGTGTCACCTGCTGAGCACTGGAGTGGTCGTTCTGACAGGCCAGCTCCTGCTCCACCTCCGACACCTCCATCAGCTGACGCTCGGACACCAGCCGAGACAACTCCCCAACCACCGTCACGTGTTTGGATACAGTGCCCGACATCTTCTTAAACTGAGGATAGTTGTCAACAAATGCCTGTGGGAGGACACAGCAGACGTTTCAGACAGGAAGGGGACTTGCAGACAAAGACAAAAGCTACATCTCAGCTGCCTCCGACCTTCATGTCACCGATGGACTCCAGCTTCTGCTGTCCTTTGGGTCTCTTCTTCTGGAAGTCCTCCATCAGGTTCTTTATGTTGGTGCCGATCTCTCCAAAGTTCAGGTACAGGTTCTAACACACAGCACAGTCACTGTCAGAGGCAAAACCGCCGAGTGTGGCTTCAGTAGCACAGAGCAACTCAGACATTCACCAGCTCTGGATCCATTATGACATAAAGTCTTCAGTTACTGTCGCTGGTCTTTATTCTGCAGTTTAAACTCAGTGTCTGACAGAATAGTCTGACATGATCTACTTAGATCTGTGCACAGCAGCAGTTGTTACCCACCATTTCATAACATTATTAGTGCTGCTAACTCTTTAAACTCTCTGCTCTGAGGTGTTTTTTCCACATAGTGACCGTGGACATGGGTTTTTTTCAGTTTTGACAGCTTTGTCCTGTTTCTGGGGGCCAGTGCATAAAACTCTTTTGCTGTTGGGGACATTACTCGCACTCATTAAATGTCACTTTCATGTCTTCACTGTTGTGTTGCTCAGTGTCTTCAGACTCACATTGGCGTAGAACTCGTCATTCTCTGCAGACAGCACCACCTCCCTCAGGTCTTTACTGATCCCCGGGACTCTGGACAGGTCAATCCGGTTGTTGTTCAGACCCAGCAGCTCGTGCACCATCGCCTGGTAAGTCCACTGCAGCATGATAGAAACTGATCAGTGGCTCTGAACTCAAACACAGCAGAAGCACTGAGGTCGTTCATGAAGAAGACATGTGTGGTGTCAGCTTTACATTGTTTCATGACCACATTCAAACTTCATGTTTTGCCTCAGTTAATATGAAACTGAGGGTGCTCAGACATCTGATCTGCCAAGTCCACAGCAGGAGGACACTGATTATCTGAGTACTATTTCTGTTGAACACCTGGTGATGTCACGGAGCAGAGCACTGCGATCAGTCACCTGGTTGAGCAGAGGTGTGATGGCGTCGTCGCTGCGGTCGAGGATCAGCAGCAGAGGAGGGACTTCAGTCTTCCTGAAGTCAAACAGCTCATACTCCTTTGTGATGATTTGCTGCAGAGGAATGAGTACTCTCATCATTTACTGTAGTAAAAGTACAAATACTCTGTTACAAGGAAAAATCCAGCATTTAAAAGTATGAGCTAAATGTACTTGAAATATCAAAAGTAATAGTACTCATTCTGCAGAAGTGGCTCCTGACAGCTTTGTGCTGTACATTTATTATTCAATGTCGTACAGTTAAAGGTACAGTATTCCCTCTGAAATGTGGCACAATACAAGTATAAAGTACTGGAGTACTTAGCAGAACTGGTGTGTGATGGAGGAGTGTGCCAAGTGTTGGTGTGCTGGGAACCTTGACGCTCTCGGCCAGGCGTTTAGACATGTCTGACGACAGCTGGTAGCGGATCATTGGACACTTCTTCAGCGCCAGGAGGACGGAGGTCAGACCCTGAGTGCAGCGAGCCAACAGGGAGGGCTCCCAGCTGCGGCCCTGACACACAGCAGCACAGATACCAGGAGTGAGACCCCCCACAAGGAGGACACATATTAATGATGAACCAGCTGCTGCTCACTAAGGTCCTCAGCATCTTCCTGCTCCCTCCACGGCCGTTCCTCTGGCTCCGCCATCAGGGGCCAGTTTCATAGACCCGCTTTACTGTGGTATATGTGTTAGACAGTCCGAGTAGAGCTTTTAGATTAGTCTGCTGTAGCTCGAACTGTGCAGCCTGAGCTGTGATAAACACCTGACGGTGTGCAGTTCTGTATGACCCTGCTGGTTTCCTGCTCTGGTCGCTGTAAAATCACCAAAGTGATGCTGCCTGTCTGTGGTTATGTCAGCACTGAGGACACACTTGTCTTCTTTCAATTTAATCCTTTCATTTAAATTAAAATTAATCTGATCAGTCTGGAAACGGAACCTACATCCTTCCAGTCACAAGCTTGCTTCTCCAACTTCAATATTCAATCTACAGCTCACTGAAAGACAGGACCAGTAGGACCAGTGGAACCTTTGGAGAGGCTTCCAGTTTCTTACCCTGGCAACTCCCAGCAGGTTCAGGGAGAACAGGTGAGGATTCACAGCGATGAAATCTCCATAAAACTCCTGCAGACACACACAAACATCAAGTTGTGGTTAAAGTGAAATGTCTGTTCATGCACCAGTTCTCTCCCTGAAAAACTGGTCTGCCCTCTCTGGGGCAGAGGAACAGGAGGCAAACAAAAACATCTGACACATGATCACCCATCAGAGTCTCCACATCAGAGTCTCCCCTGTGATGGTTTGGATCAGGGCTGCCTTCACTTCTGGTCTGGGCGTTTGAACACGCTCTGTTCTCTTGTCTGTTTTGCTCGTGTCAATATCAACCTGCCCACTGCTGCAGGTGAACTCAGCCTTTTGGTCTAACTCAGGCACATTGACATAATTTGCTCTTGATTAATGTGTGTTGAATAAATAACACCAGCTGCCTCCTTCCACATCTGCACAGGTGTGGTGCAGTGGGCCGTGGTGAGTTGTGGGAAACACTGAGCTCTGACTACACAGCAGTGCTGTGAGAAGGGTTCGTTGACTGCCGGTGAAGTAATGTGCATGTTGGTATATTTGTGACGTGGGCCACACCTGGGCCACCTGAATATACACTGAGTCCTCAGGTTCCCCAAGTCACAGTGAGACGCCCCCTGCTACTTTGGAGTGGAAATACACTGCACTGAGTTTCCTCAGAAGTGTGTGTGCTGCTGGATGCAACAGTGTCCGTCTTGGCCAGATTTGGGTTTCAGACTCACCTGGACTTCAGCCACCACTTCCTGTTCATCAGCTTCAGCCAGAGCTTTGATCTCACTCTTACTGATCACATTACTGAAGTCTGAAACACACAGACAGACAACAGCAGGGATTAGTAAAGGGGATCGATGAAGTCTGATGAATATACTGCATTTTGATTTATTCATCTGATTCTGAAAAGGAACTAAAGTTATCAAATGCATGTAGTGCAGTAAAGATGCAGTCAAGTTCAAGTATGAAGCTGCAGGAATGGAAATACTCAAGTAAAGTACAGATACCTCAGAACTGTATTTAGATACAGCAGTAAATGTACTAAGTGATGCTGCACCACTGATGTGCAGCGAGTTAAGTCTCTTACAGATGAAGTAGACGCTGTACTTTGGTCTCCTCAGCTCCTGAATCAGATGCTGCACGTTCTCCTGCATACACACACACACTTCATCAATTTGATCTCGATCAGTATTAGAAACATATCTTTGCTACCTGCGGCCAGGCCTGGTACCTTGGTGGGTCGGAGGAAGCAGATGGCCTTCAGGTGTTTCATGCTGTCTCTGTTCTGAGAGTCAATCCGTTCAAAGAGGTAAACCTCCTTCTGCAGGATCTCTGACTGAGTGTACACCATGCTCACTATACTGGTCTGTAACACACACAGTTTAAAGATGTGATCTGAGCTCTCACTTATGTGCATAGATCAGATATTATTCAACACACGTTTGTAGAGAAAACACAGCCAGACTTCCTGTTACAGCAGATCAACATTTCACCTGCCGACTGTAACCCACCAATAGTCTGAGTAATTACACAGCAACAGTAGTGTGCACGCTACAGTTACACAACTCCAAGACTGCCATCAGAGCCAGGAACAATTGTAGTAAATATTTAGGTTTCGGTAAACTCGGTTTGTCAACAAAGTCTGAACAAATAACTAACACAGTACAAATACCACACAGTAAAACTACTCCACAGTCCCCGTATCACACAGTATAACTATCCCCAGTCCCAGTATCCGACACCCCCGGTGTCCCGGTATAACTGTGGCCGCCGGTGTCTCACCGTCTCTCTGTCCATCAGCAGAACCTTCATCCCGGGCCCGCTGCTCTCGATCATCTTAGAGACGTACTGTTTCACCGCGAGCGTCACGTTCATGATGGCGGCGCTCAGAGACAACAACAAAATAACAAATGACAATGGTAACAACAGCCGTGTTGCAGGTTTTCTGTCTGGTTCGGTTGGGTCTGCACAAATACCTGCTCCACTGCTAAGACAACACAGCTTGCCTGCTGATTTCCGGGGTCGTGACGTCATTACGCCACACGTACGCATGAAAGTCACTTTCGGCTTTTCCCGATTAGGGCTCGCCACAGTGAATCGTCATACTGACGACTAACCACTGATTACATTCAACATTACCCCTTCAATTTCCAACTTCCAACTTCAAACTGATCACCCTGTCTGACACTCTTTTCATCTCTAAAACATTCCTCACGAGCTCCTCCTTCAGGATCACTCCTACCCCATTTCTCTTCCTATCCACACCATAATAATGCCCGATACGTGGTGTATCGGGCATTATAGTTGCAATAATGCCCGATACGTTTATTTATTTAATATTGTTAATAATAATTGTTATTGTTGTTGACAGCGTTATAAGCTTGTAACTGATTTTTCTGGAGCTACTTTTTCTTTATTGTTTTCCTTTGTACAACAATGTATCATATTTTATAAGCTGCGCATTATGATTTGTATGTAAAATGTATTAATTTGCACAGGAACCAGTACCTTTGTCTGACACAAATGCTGAGGAGTACTCTTTGAAATGCAGTGACACATAGTTCTAAGTAGACATAAAATGGAAGTACTCAAGTACTTTACAAATATCTCAGAACTGTATTTATATACAGTATTTCAGTAGCTATACTTACATATGTTCCACCACTGTAGCCTATATGTTATAATATACAGGTTAAGTAAAAGTTTTAGTATAAAATTGAATGTAAATGAAAGCATTTGAAAAAAATATGTCACCAACGTTATTGTGTGAAACACTCAAAAACCAACTGAACAGAGTACATAGGTACAGAATTGTTCATCTTTGGTCAATAGTGATACTAAAAAATATGTATTTAGCCAATTGAAAATTGGTAGTAATGTCAGCTGACCAGCTAGCTTTGGTTTAAGCTTTGGTTTTATCATGCAGGGGAGATCGGGTCAGTTGTAACACTGCCAGTTTGACCAGTCAAAAAAAGGCTGTGGTGATGATCTCTATCAAAAACTCCCTTTTCCTTTTTGAGCTGACAGGAGAAATGGCAGGTCACTGTGAGAAACACTGGATTTTATGAACAAAAACTGATTTTCAGGTTTTAAAAAAGGATTTTTTTAATCAAGATTATTTTTGCTTATGTTCACTGTATTGTAGATACAGTGGTTTGACTTACAGTATATGTCTCAAAGCAGCAGTTCCTCTAGTTTAAAATGCTATATATTCATGCTAACTTCAAACCCACATACTGTTGGCTATGTAGTGGCTGTTTGGGGTGGGGGTGGTTGTAACAGTGCAACTCCATATGTCCAGTGACCAAGAGATGCTGACACCTCTGTTTGTGAGAATCTTTCCACTGTATGCTTGAACGCTTCACACACTCAAGGCCAAGAGAAGTGGGGGTCAAGTCAGTACTTTGTCTGTTCAAGGCCAACCAACCCTGCACCCCAGGAGCAACATCTGCATTTTCCACATCTGTGACAGGGATTGTCATACTGACGACTAACCACTGATTACATTCAACATTACCCCTTCAATTTCCAACTTCCAACTTCAAACTGATCACCCTGTCTGACACTCTTTTCATCTCTAAAACATTCCTCACGAGCTCCTCCTTCAGGATCACTCCTACCCCATTTCTCTTCCTATCCACACCATAATAATGCCCGATACGTGGTGTATCGGGCATTATAGTTGCAATAATGCCCGATACGTTTATTTATTTAATATTGTTAATAATAATTGTTATTGTTGTTGACAGCGTTATAAGCTTGTAACTGATTTTTCTGGAGCTACTTTTTCTTTATTGTTTTCCTTTGTACAACAATGTATCATATTTTATAAGCTGCGCATTATGATTTGTATGTAAAATGTATTAATTTGCACAGGAACCAGTACCTTTGTCTGACACAAATGCTGAGGAGTACTCTTTGAAATGCAGTGACACATAGTTCTAAGTAGACATAAAATGGAAGTACTCAAGTACTTTACAAATATCTCAGAACTGTATTTATATACAGTATTTCAGTAGCTATACTTACATATGTTCCACCACTGTAGCCTATATGTTATAATATACAGGTTAAGTAAAAGTTTTAGTATAAAATTGAATGTAAATGAAAGCATTTGAAAAAAATATGTCACCAACGTTATTGTGTGAAACACTCAAAAACCAACTGAACAGAGTACATAGGTACAGAATTGTTCATCTTTGGTCAATAGTGATACTAAAAAATATGTATTTAGCCAATTGAAAATTGGTAGTAATGTCAGCTGACCAGCTAGCTTTGGTTTAAGCTTTGGTTTTATCATGCAGGGGAGATCGGGTCAGTTGTAACACTGCCAGTTTGACCAGTCAAAAAAAGGCTGTGGTGATGATCTCTATCAAAAACTCCCTTTTCCTTTTTGAGCTGACAGGAGAAATGGCAGGTCACTGTGAGAAACACTGGATTTTATGAACAAAAACTGATTTTCAGGTTTTAAAAAAGGATTTTTTTAATCAAGATTATTTTTGCTTATGTTCACTGTATTGTAGATACAGTGGTTTGACTTACAGTATATGTCTCAAAGCAGCAGTTCCTCTAGTTTAAAATGCTATATATTCATGCTAACTTCAAACCCACATACTGTTGGCTATGTAGTGGCTGTTTGGGGTGGGGGTGGTTGTAACAGTGCAACTCCATATGTCCAGTGACCAAGAGATGCTGACACCTCTGTTTGTGAGAATCTTTCCACTGTATGCTTGAAGGCTTCACAACGCTTCACACACTCAAGGCCAAGAGAAGTGGGGGTCAAGTCAGTACTTTGTCTGTTCAAGGCCAACCAACCCTGCACCCCAGGAGCAACATCTGCATTTTCCACATCTGTGACAGGGATTGAACCTTTACAGTGCCTTGCGAAAGTATTCGGCCCCCTTGAACTTTGCGACCTTTTGCCACATTTCAGGCTTCAAACATAAAGATATGAAACTGTAATTTTTTGTGAAGAATCAACAACAAGTGGGACACAATCATGAAGTGGAACGAAATTTATTGGATATTTCAAACTTTTTTAACAAATAAAAAACTGAAAAATTGGGCGTGCAAAATTATTCAGCCCCTTTACTTTCAGTGCAGCAAACTCTCTCCAGAAGTTCAGTGAGGATCTCTGAATGATCCAATGTTGACCTAAATGACTAATGATGATAAATAGAATCCACCTGTGTGGAATCAAGTCTCCGTATAAATGCACCTGCACTGTGAGAGTCTCAGAGGTCCGTTTAAAGCGCAGAGAGCATCATGAAGAACAAAGAACACACCAGGCAGGTCCGAGATACTGTTGTGCAGAAGTTTAAAGCCGGATTTGGATACAAAAAGATTTCCCAAACTTTAAACATCCCAAGGAGCACTGTGCAAGCGATAATATTGAAATGAAAGGAGTATCAGACCACTGCAAATCTACCAAGACCTGGCCGTCCCTCTAAACCTTCAGCTCATACAAGGAGAAGACTGATCAGAGATGCAGCCAAGAGGCCCATGATCACTCTGGATGAACTGCAGAGATCTACAGCTGAGGTGGGAGACTCTGTCCATAGGACAACAATCAGTCGTATACTGCACAAATCTGGCCTTTATAGAAGAGTGGCAAGAAGAAAGCCATTTCTTAAAGATATCCATAAAAAGTGTCGTTTAAAGTTTGCCACAAGCCACCTGGGAGACACACCAAACATGTGGAAGAAGGTGCTCTGGTCAGATGAAACCAAAATCGAACTTTTTGGCAACAATGCAAAACGTTATGTTTGGCGTAAAAGCAACACAGCTCATCACCCTGAACACACCATCCCCACTGTCAAACATGGTGGTGGCAGCATCATGGTTTGGGCCTGCTTTTCTTCAGCAGGGACAGGGAAGATGGTTAAAATTGATGGGAAGATGGATGGAGCCAAATACAGGACCATTCTGGAAGGAAACCTGATGGAGTCTGCAAAAGACCTGAGACTGGGACGGAGATTTGTCTTCCAACAAGACAATGATCCAAAACATAAAGCAAAATCTACAATGGAATGGTTCACAAATAAACATATCCAGGTGTTAGAATGGCCAAGTCAAAGTCCAGACCTGAATCCAATCGAGAATCTGTGGAAAGAACTGAAAACTGCTGTTCACAAACGCTCTCCATCCAACCTCACTGAGCTCAAGCTGTTTTGCAAGGAGGAATGGGCAAAAATTTCAGTCTCTCGATGTGCAAAACTGATAGACATACCCCAAGCGACTTACAGCTGTAATCGCAGCAAAAGGTGGCGCTACAAAGTATTAACTTAAGGGGGCTGAATAATTTTGCACGCCCAATTTTTCAGTTTTTTATTTGTTAAAAAAGTTTGAAATATCCAATAAATTTCGTTCCACTTCATGATTGTGTCCCACTTGTTGTTGATTCTTCACAAAAAATTACAGTTTTATATCTTTATGTTTGAAGCCTGAAATGTGGCAAAAGGTCGCAAAGTTCAAGGGGGCCGAATACTTTCGCAAGGCACTGTATGTTACACATACACATTTTGAAATTAGCCCACATAATCTGCATTTGTGTGGTCATCATCCAAGTGAGTTTTGTTTGCAGTAGACAAATATGATACCATGTTAGAAGGTGTTAGAATCATCCCCGGTGTTTTTGATTCAGAAGAAATTCCGCGTATTTATTGTATAGCGTTGTTAAAATTCGTGTTATCTCAATTCCCACCTTGAATTTGACAGTAATACAGTTTCAGCTGAGCAACATTAGCTAAGATAGCACTTCGAATACATGGTTTCTAATGTTTTGGTGGTACAAAGCAGACTAAAAACTGGTGGCAGACGTTTTCTGCAAACTGTTTAAGACTACAAATTGTAACAACAACGTGTTTTTGAACATCTTTATATCTTAGTTAAACAACAAATGACAAGCAAGTAAGCTAACTCAAACTGTTTAAGACTACAAATTGTAACAACAACGTGTTTTTGAACATCTTTATATCTTAGTTAAACAACAAATGGCAAGCAAGTAAGCTAACTATCTGTTGATCTGTTGCCAGGCAGTGTGGTGGGGGACAAGGTCTATGGATTTTATGGACATATATCTGTAGATATACATGACCGATGATGGTGTGCTACTTGCTATATATGTCCTCAG